CTTTACAGGAGCAGAATACCAGGTTTTTCTCCCACGGAGATGCTGGGTGGGTTCGCATTACCAATCTTTTAGTTGGCAGCCGAGCACTTAACTGTTGTGCCACCATGGCTGCTTAGTATTATAATAGTAAGGCATATTAAGTGCTCACTGTGGGCCAGGGTCTGTGTTAAGACTCTACTTGGATCATCTCTTCCAGTCCTTGCTGTTGTCCTGTGAGATTGGTCCTTTGATCTCTATGACATAGATGGGCGAAGTGGGATTTGGGGTGTCAAGTGACTTGGCCAGGATCACCCAGAGGTGGCAGGGCTGGGGTTTGGATGCAGGTCGGTCTCAGTGGAGTTGATGTGAGCACAAACCTTCCAGGCCATCTTCTTTCAGGTTAACCCCAAAACCTGGAAGACCCTTGGCCTCGGGCCAATAACCCAGAGCCTGTGTCAGAGTCCAAGGCAAATGGCTGCTGTCTGCTCCTGGAGGGTCTCCTGGGAACAGCACCTCCCGGTGTCACCTCTTCTGGGAGGCCCCCACCTCCTGCCCCAGCACCTGGCCTCTCCCTGCCCTCTGTCACCTCCCCTCAGGTGATTGATTGGCTGGCACTGCCGCCAAGCCCTGCATTGCCCCCCTGGGAGCTGAGCCTGCCTGAGATGGAGCCCGGCCCCAGTAATTGATGCAGGCTGCCATTCAAGCTGCGGTTTGAGCTTTGATCCAGCCAAGCCTGGGAGCTGCCAGAGACCAAGGGATCCGTAGCCCAAGTTTCCATCCAAGTATGGACACTTAATCTGCACTTCCTCTGAAACTGAGCCACCGCTGTCTTCCAGAGAAACCAATGTTGGCTTGAGCATTAAATAAAGTGGGAACTCAGAGAGGCAAGCGGGACAGCCAAGAGAGCAGGCGTGGGCATCGTGGAGAGGAGGTCTCTGTCCCTGGTGATTGGGGATGTGCCCTCATCTCTGCAGCCCTTGTTCGCTAATCAGTCACGTGGGGAAATAATACTGACCTCCCAGCATCCATGAGTGCAGAATGTGCCTGGCACATAGTAGGGGCTTAATAAATGTAATTAAATCTCATTAAAATGGTGGTGGGGGCAGTGGGTTTCATTGTAGAATTCTCGCCTTCCATGTTGTAGACCCAGGTTTGATTCCCGGCCAGCGCAGCTCATGCACAGCCACCACCTGTCTGTTAGTAGAGGCTTGTGTGTTGCTATGATGCTGAACACGTTTCAGTGGTGCTTCCAGACTAAGAGTAGGAAGAAAGGCCTGGCAGTCTCTTCTGAAAATGAACCAGTGAAAACTCTACAGATCGCAACGGTCCATTCCGCAACTGATCGTGAGGATGGCTCAGGACTGGCCAGTGCTTCATTCTGTTGTGCGTGGGGTGGCCATGAGTCGGGGACTAACTCAACAGCAGTAGTTCGCAACAACAACATAATGTGATAGCTGCTATCTGTTGAGCTAGCCTGGTGCCAGGCTTCATGCTCAGCAGTTCAGTCGGTCCTCACAGTGACCCTGTGAGTGGGGCGTCATTGCACCGGGGGTTCTCAACCTCAGCACTATTGACATTTGGAGCCAGATAGTTCTTTGATGTGGGGGCTGTCCTGTGCGTTATAGGATGTTTAGCAACATCCTTGGCCTCTACCCACTAGATGCTAGTAACACCCCCCCACCCCAGTCATGACAACCAAACGTGTCCAGACATTGTCGAATGTCCCCTCGGGGGAAAACTTACCAGGCTTGAGGGCCACCGCATTATAGAGCGGCGGCGTCTGTATTGGACCCAGGCAGAGCACTTACCTTTGGTCCCTGACCCGAGGTGGAGCCCAAATTGCAAAAGTCATGGGGTTTGGTCTCCTGAGGGGCGCTGAGGTGGGGGTCAGGGTGGCTCGCCTTGGGAAAGACCGACTCCACCAGACTGCTCCTCACTGGGCTGCTCAAGAACCTGTTGTTGAAGGTCACATAGCAGCTGCCCAGCCCCTGCCCTGAGGTAGAAGGAGAAGTCTCCACCGTGCCCCCCACAAGGCCCAGCCACTCGTAATGGAGGCTGGACCATGGGAGCGTGGGCCTCCTGAGTCCCACAACCCACATCCTTTCACACCTGCTCCCCCATTCAGGGCCACTGCCCACATGGACCTCGGGCCTGTCTGTTCGCACTCCCACCCTCTCACCCTTCAGTGGGGAAGAAGGCCTCAGCACCCTTTATTCCCTGCAGGCATCACCAGAGACCCTTCTTTTCTGTGCTGCATCACTTCCAACCACTGACTCACTTGTTCGTGAACTATTTATACCCCTCATACAAATGCTCCCCTAAGGGCTCCAGGCAGATGGCTGTGTTCTCCTGGCAGCCCCAGGACACACGTGAGGAGATGGGGGTGGGGAGACTGTGCACAAAGCAGATGTGTGTCTTATGAGCCCAACAGACCTGGGGTGGAAGCCCAGCCACTGCTGTGTGACCTTGGGCAGATCAGTTAACTTCTCTGAGCCACCACTGTAAAATAAGCCTGTCATGAGGAATAAGTAAAATAATGTAAAGTTCCCAGCATAAAGACAGGTTTTAGTAAGTGATCAGAGTCCCTGGATGGAGCAAACAGTTGAGAGCTCGGCCATTAATCAAAAGGTTGGCGGTTGGAATCCACCCAGAGGTGCTTTGGAAGAAAGGCCTGGCAATCTTCCAAAAGGTTACGATCATTGAAAATCCTATGTGCAGTTCTGTTCTGAAGCACAAAGGGTCACTGTGAGTCAGAGTTGACTCAACGGCAACTAGTTCGGTTTCATTTTCTTTTAGTAAGTGATCTCTGTTAGGTGTTCTGGTGATGCAATGGTCAAAGCGCTTGACTGCTAACCAAATGGTCAGTGGTTCAAAACCACCAGCGGCTCCGCGGGAGAAAGATGCGGCAGTCTGCTTCTGTAGAAATTTACAGCGTTGGAAGCCCTATGGGGTCACTGTGAGTTGGAATCAACTCGATGGTAGTGGATTTGGTTTTTGGGTTTTATTAGGTGTGCACAGTCATGCAAAACTTGTGTATAAGTAGAGAAGAGGAGAGGGGACCAGCTGGCCAGTACAGGAATGAGATGTGTGTTCATGAAGGACCTCCTAGTGTTCAGGACCTAGGTTTCTGGAACTCAGCCCCTCTGGGTCACACTGCAGTCACCAACACTGTCACCCTGCCAGCCTGAGAGCACGAGGACTTCTTTGGGCATAGAAAGCCCATTTTACCAACCTGAGACCACCCTGCCCAGTTGTACCAGGAGATGGAAGCAGGGCATGCTTTTGGTTAGCCTGATAAGCGGGGCCAGGCCGGGCTGTATAGACAGCGCCCTAGTCCGATAGGCTGTGTGCTCTGGGCAGCAGTGGGCACCTCCCCAGCAAAGGGACCCAAGGAGGGCAATCAGGAGAGACATTGATAAGCCACCTGCCCCCCCCAACCCCGTCACTATGACTGCCAGACAGCTGGGGGTAGCAAAAGAAAAGAAGGGTGTGGGCCAGAGGCGTTGTTACACCTAATCACTGTTCAAGGTCAGGCGAACTGCCCAGCGGTCAGTATCTTCCTCGATGCCCCACGGGCCCTCTGCACAGCGTGTTCCTGGAACCCAGCTTTCCTGCCACCATGAGCCTTTGTTCATGCCGTCCTGCTCCTGGAAAATTACAAGTGGGTCTCCCTCCTATAAGCTCTGGCCGTGCCCTGTGACACGTGGTAACTTCTGCCTACCTGTTCACTTATCAAAAGCAGAGACGCTGTCTTAGACTTCACTCACTCATTCACGTATGAATCATTCATTCAGTACTTGCTGAGCACCTACTGTGTGCTTTATCTCCCACCCCGCAGTACCTAGCATGAAGTAGACCCCCAGTACAGAGGGTGCTGTGTGATGAGAGCTGCTTATTCCATGGAAAGAGACCAACTATCACATCCATGTCACATCCTCTTTCCCAGTGGTTCTCAACTGGGACAATTTTGCCCCCCAGGGCCATTTGGCAATATCTGAAGACATTTTTGATAATCATGACTGGGGAGGGCCACCAGCATCTAGTGGGTAGAGGCCAGGGATGCTGCTAAACATCCTACAATGCGCAGGGCAGCCCCACAACAAAGAATTATCCAGCTCCAGATGTCAGCAGTGCTGAGATTGAGAAATCCTTCCCTAGCCCATAAGACCCTGTCACCTGGGTGGGGACAAGATGTCCCTTGGGTGCCCATGGAGATGCTGGCAAGCCAACTGGTCCCGGGGATAGTTAGTGAATGCTAAACTCAGAACCACCCCCCACGCAGTCTGCACCCCATGGTATTGTGAATTCTTTCTCTCTGCTTGTTCATGTCATACTCAGTACAGAGGGGCTCTGATTTCAGCTTCCTCTTGCAGCAGGCTTGTCCAAAAGTTAGCACTGTTCAACCTGCAGGAGGCTGCCAGGCCAGATGATGAGTTCCCCATCATCGGAGGTAACTGAGCAGGAGCTGGGCCACATATTGGGACTCTGCCAGTTGATGGGAGGTGCTCTCTGAGCACTACTCCCCCACCTCCCCTAGTTCTTTGCATTCAGGCTATAACTACTCTGGTCAGGTATGTCTTAGTTACCTGGTGCTGTCATAACACTAGTGGATGGCTTTAAAGAACAGAAATTTATATTCTCAATTCTGGAGACTAACTGTCCAAATCAGAGTCTTATCTTTGTGAATTCCTTCCTTGTTGGTAGCCCTGGGCGTTCCTTGATTCCTTGGAGTTTCTTGACTTGTAAATGATCCTCACATGGCATCTAATCCCCCCACCCCACGTATGTGTATCTCTGTGTCCGATCTCTTTTTATAACTCAGGAGTGATTAGACTTAGGACCCACCCTATTCAGTATGATCTAATTAACATAACAAAGAAAACTCCATTTCCAAACAGGATTATATCCATAGGTATAGGGATTGGGATTCCAACACATATTTTGAGGGGTCATGATTTAATCCATAACAAGGTGTGATGTGTGCCAGGGTGTCCTTAGCCTCTCTCTCTTTGCACTCATAGGTATGATGCCGGCCGGGATGGTTTCATCGACTTGATGGAGCTAAAGCTCATGATGGAGAAACTCGAGGCTCCCCAGACCCACCTGGGCCTGAAAAACATGATCAAGGAGGTGGATGAGGACTTTGATGGCAAGCTCAGCTTTCGGGAGGTAAGCCCTGGCCCCACCACACCCTATCAGGGGCCACACCTCAGGGGTTGGTGGCCCAGAGAGACTAAGCCAGCTCATTCATCAGAGCTCGGGCGTCCTAGAGCAGAAACATTGTGGGGGTAGGGGGACTGAGATGCCTTAAGTGAGAAGGAGGGACAGCCATTCCTTCATTTAGTGAGCGTTTATTGATGACTACTGTACACCCAACCCTGTGCGGGCCCTGAGGGTACAGAGAAAGGTCCTGTGTTCCAAAGGTCCTGGGATGTAGAGGAGGAGACGTGTAAAAATGCTGTAATCTAATGCTGTGATTCAGAAGAGGTGGGGACAGACAAAGGGACAGTACTGCAGTTCTGAGATGGGCCAGGCACCGTGCTGGGTGTTTGCAGACTCCTGACGTCATTTACTCCTCACTCTGGGACAGGAACTCGGAGCAAGCCTGTTTCACATAAGAGGAAATGGAGGCTCAAAGAGAGATAGCAGTGGTACCAGGCCCTAGGCAGCATAGGGTTAAACGCCAAGGGGCAGCATCTTAGAACAATTGAGGCTGAACTGGGCCTTGGAGAAGAAGCAGGAAGGATAGAAGAGGCAGGGAGAGAGAAAGGTGGCAGGGGTCCCTCAGGGGAGGATGAGTCGCAGGGGAAGAGGGTGTGGGCCGTACAGGATAATGATTTGAAGTCAGGAGGACACGGGTTTGAATCCCTCTTTACTTGCTGGTGCCGAGACTTTGGGCAAGATTGTCCCCATCATGGAGCCTTCCTCGTCTGCAAAATGGGCACAGTAATAGCACTTTTTGTACTCCATAAATGGAATTCTTAGAGAGGACTAGTTTGGGGAATAGTGGGAGACAAAGATAAGGGATAAGTTGAGGCCATGTCGTCAAGATTCTCGATGGAAGTTGAAAGTGGATGGAACTGACCTTGCTTCGGGAATCACCTACAGAAACCCAGGATTCTAGGAAGGCACAGATGGGCAAACAGAGGCTCCAAGAGGGAGGGACACAGGGGCCTGTGTAGAACACAGAGCATGGAGGGGCAAGAACCCAGGCTTCTTCTCCTGCAAGCAATGGCTCCTTTTGCCCAGGGAAGGCCTGACGCTGGGCCTGGGTGTGGCAGGGACTTTGGCCCCTTTCCCCCTCTTCCTGACCCAAATGCACCTCTCTTTGCCATAGTTCCTCCTGATTTTCCGCAAGGCGGCAGCAGGGGAGCTGCAGGAGGACAGTGGGCTCCACGTGCTTGCCCGCCTCTCTGAGATTGACGTCTCCACCGAGGGTGTCAAGGGGGCCAAGAGCTTCTTCGAAGCCAAGGTGAGGAGGAGGAGGCTGTACAGAGCCTGGGGCTGGGAGTACCATGATCCCAACTGAAGGGCATGAGTGTGGCCAGGGTACGGTGGGGCTCTGGGCTCACCTACATGCTCTAGGGTTAGCACAGACAGCAGGTGGGAGCTGACACCCTGGCAAGGCCCATGTGGCTCCTGGCTTCTGTCCCCTCCCATTCCAGTCCTTTCCAGCCCCCTCTCTCTCTCTCTGCTCAGAGGGGTGGGTAAGGGGTGTGTTCTCTTGAAGAGGGTGCAGGAACCATCTTGAGCTATCCTACCCTGGGCACACAGAGCTACCATTCCAGAGGTCTGGGCCTTAAGAAGGGAGAGCCGAGAGAGCAGAGCAGGCCTAGAAGTACAGCTCTCACTCTCCAGAGCCTCTCTGAGACCTGCCCACCAGCTCCGGCCTAGAGGGAGCATTAAAGGCCCAGAGGCCACCTGTACACCAGCTTCCCCGAAACTCCTTAGTCCCAGACCCCGCTCTCCCCTTACAGCACACACTTAGATGAAGGTGGCAAGTATGGTCTAGTGGCTTCTGGATCTTGCCCACCCAGGGCACTGCGTTTCCTTGCTTCTCCCTCTTGCCATGTTAAGCTAAGAACATTCCTTCCAAAGGTTGCCTCTCACCTCCATCTAGGCTTCCAAGTGTTGATGGAATGCCTTCAGGATCCACTGGTGGGACTGGGTGTGCAGCTGGGCTCCCTGGGACAGGAAACAGAATAAGGATAATAATATCAGTAACTACCATTTTTAAGACCTGGGTTCGATTCCTGGCCAATGCACCTCATGTGCAGCCACCACCCAACTGTCAGTGGAGGCTTGCAGGTTGCTATGATGCTGATCAGGTTTCAGCAAATGAAAACCCTATGCATCACAATGGTCGGATCTGCTACCAATCACGGGGACGGTGCAGGATCGGGCAGCATTTTGCTCCATTGTACATGGAGTCACCATGAGTCGGGGGCTGACTCAATGGCAGCTCACGAGAGCAACTACTGTGCATCTGTCCCTGAATGTATGTTATTAATCCTCCCGACAAATCCATGAGGTCAGAGTTCCTGCGTGCTGGGTTGTAGATGGAGAAGCTGAGGCTCAGAGAGGTGAACGAAGTGCCTGGCCTAGGGCCAAGCTGGTGAGGACAGAGCTGTATGTGTTTCCTGATGGAGGCAAGGAGACCCTTCCAGCCCTGACCGCTGGGCTTCCCCCCACTGCATGCCAGGTCCAGGCCATCAACGTGTCCAGCCGCTTTGAGGAGGAGATCAAGGCAGAGCAGGAGGAGAGGAAGAAGCAGGCCGAGGAGATGAAGCAGCGGAAAGCAGCCTTCAAGGAGCTGCAGTCCACCTTCAAGTAGCCAGGAGCTGGGCCTGACTACCCGGCCATGGCCCAGCGCCCAGCCCAAAGGGCAAGGGCAGGTGGGGGTGGGCAGATCAGGGGCCAGGCCTGCTGCTTGACCCTCTCTGAAGGGACCACTACTAAAACCTAATGTCTGTGAATGGAGCAAGTGAGGGGTCCACGTGGGCCCGGCCTCCACCTGCTCCCTCCCGCTGTTCCTGGGCCGTGACACCAGCTGAGCCGGCAGCCTGGCCCTGTCCTCCCTGGCAGTTCCTGCATCTCTAGCATCTATATCAAGCCCCAGATGCCCTGCCGCCTCTCCAGTGTTGCTCTGTTGGGCCCAGCTCCTGGCTCAAGGGCACTTGCTCCCTGCTCGTGTGCCTCCCCTCCCCACCATCCTTCCTCCCTTTCCCATCTCTCTCCCTTGTCACCTCCTTCCAGTCCTAGGCTCTGGGCCTGTAGAGGCCACCTGCCCCTAACCATCAGGATTCCCGGCTCATAGGGCCCTGGAGAGCCTCTTTCCAGACCTCAGAAGGGGAAAAGCCTGGGGGGCATCGGAGATTGAAAGAATCGTGGCCACTGGGCAGATTGAGACCCAAGGGGCTTTTCCTCCGGCTCTGCCTGCTCTTTCTGCCTGCGTGTGTATTGTGGAGAAAGAGAGATTTCTACCTTGGCCAAGAGACCCAGGCCCCTGGCACCCTGTGCTGACATCGAGACCCCAGGTCTTGGGGCCTAGCAGGGCAGGGAGAGGGGACAGCTGTGCCAATCTACCTCACAGGCCCACCCTCTGCCAAGGCAATGCCATGGGGCCATGGGCAGGGGAGGCCCAAGGAGGCAAAAACACCACCACCCAGTACCCCCCCAGAACAGCCTGAGGGTGCTAGGGGGTTCCCGAGAGAGTAGGGTGCAAGGAGGAATTGGCCCCTTGATAGGGAAGGCAACCAGCGCTCTGTCTCAGTTCTCCAGGAAGCATCCAGAAAGTGCTTTACTTGTCTTGCATGCACCGGGCAGTGGGGAGCAGAGGGGCCTCGCTCAAGTGATGTCCACCTTGCCACTGGCGATGGGACTTGTCCCACTGTGCCCACCGTGAGGAAGCCTGGGGACCCCAGCCCTCCTTGCGCCCATCGCCTGGTGGGCCGTGGCCAGACTCGCACCGCAGGCTCGTTCTGCTGCAGCTCCCAATATGCTCGCTCACGTGCGTGTGTGTGTGTGTGTGTGCATATGTGTTGTTGCTGTGTTGTGAAATTGTGACTGTCACCCAGTCCAAACAAAAGAGCGGCCCTTGAGGCCACAGTTATGCAACTTTCCGTGTGTGTCATGACAGCGTCCCTGCTTTTGAACTCCGTAACTCTTTATTTTAGTACAGTGCCTCAAGAGTCTGCGAAACTCCTGTTGGGCTTGCAGAGGTGTTATTTTTTTGGCCTTAGAATCTGCAGAAATTAGGAGGTACTAACCCTGGTGCAGCAGCCCTGGCCCTGGATTGCGTTTGCCTTAGCAGATATGTTTATACAGATGAATATAAAGATTTCTTTTGGCATTTTGCTTTTTATTTTTTCTTCCCTTCTCACCAACCCCCCCAAAAAAAGCTACTTCTTCATTCGGTGGTACGATTATTTTTTTTAACTAAAATAAGATAAAATTCTATATTCCTATGTGTGTGTGTTTCCTGTTGGCTCGTGGGGAGAGGAGGGGCTGGGAAAGTAGTGGGCAGAGATGAGGTCCCTAGGGTGCTGGGGCAGTGTTTGCTCAGGGGGCTCCCTCGTCATGACAGAAGCCACAGGGAAGAGGGGAGCCTTCCTAAGAAGAGAGGTTCATGTTTGATGCCCCCCTGCTATGCCAGGTGCCACTCTAAGCACTTTATGTGCATTAACTCACGTAACCCTCACAACCAGCCCATGTTGGGGTGCTATTTTTATTCTTTTGGAAATAAGGACCAGGAGGCTGGAAAGACAAAGCAAGTGTCCCAGAGGCACAGACATGGCAAGTGGGGCGGGCAAGATGCAGCTGAGTCCACAGCCCTTGCCCTTAACCACTGAGCAACCCAGCCTCCAGCATTTGGAGTCAGGGGTGTGTCTCCGTGGGGCAGTGACATACAGCACAGTGGCTAGTAATGGCACCAAGGGCACGGGGATTCTGGATGGATGCACCTTAGAGACCCCCAAGCATCCTCCCTGACACACAGACACACCAAGCATCTCAACATACACAGAGACACCCCCTACCACACACAGACACCCCAAGCATCACATATACACACAAATACCCCCAAACATCCCAGAGACACCCCAAGCATCACAGACACTCCAATCATCGCACACACGCAGACACTCCAAGTGCCCCCACCACACACAGACATCCCAACTGTCCCACACACACAGACTCCCGAGCTGTCTTGAGCAGGCTGGGAAACACCCCAGGGGCGGTGGAGTGACCAGGAAAGAGCAGGGTCAGCAGCAGCAGCTCCCTGTGTGGCTTGGGACAGATCACACACCCAGTTGGTCTCAGTCTCCCCATTTGCTCCTTGCAAGGGCGGGCTGGGGTCTCAGGGTCTTCCCAGCTCTGGTTCCAGGTAGAGCACCCCCCTCTCCCAGGTTGCAACCCTAGGGTGGCAGGAGTTTGGAATTAGACTGGGCATCACTGCTCCCGGGTGGAGATGGCTGGTACTACAGCAACCAGGATGCTCCTTCGCTCCTCGCAGTCCCCGCCTCTGGAAGGCAGCGTCCTTGAAGTGTATTTCCTGGGGCTCTGGGGAATGCCACCCCCACATCCACCCAGTGCTTAGATGCCACCATCATTAACACAGGACTTTGGGTAAAGCACTACCTTTCACTACCCTTCCACAAGGGAAGAACAACATCAGAATCTCACTCAAACACCCTCACGAAAAGGTCTCACAACCTAGAGACAGAGGACCATAAAAGGGAAGCGTTTAAATTCAAGCTCCAGAGCTCGAGCCCAGCTGGTCTGGCAATGGACGTGGGCCTCCGACCCTCGGAATGTGAGAGGGGCTAGCTGGCCTTACGGTGAAAAACGACTCTGTGCCAGGGCTGGCTCTCCCCTCGGCCTGCACAAACCCTCCACCCTCAGCCCAGGCAGAGGGAGAGGAGGGGGGCATGAAGGAGGCCCGCAGTGATTCAGGGACCCAGAGTGAGTGCTCCTCAAAGCCCTCCGAGGTCTAAACTGCTGTGTAAACCTTCATCAAGAACACATTAAAATATTATTTAAAGAAAAACAAAAACCCAGGTCCCCATCCTCTCACTCAGCTTTCCCCTCCCTGAGTCCCAGCGGCAATCACCAAATCCCCAACCCCTCACTGAACCCCTAGCTCCTTGCTGAACCCCCTAGGCCCTCACTGAGCCCCCAAGTCATTGCTGAACCCCAACCCCTCACTGAACCCTTAATTCCTCCACTGAACCCTCAACCCCTCTCTGAACTCTTAACCCCTCACTGAGCCCCCAGCCCTTCTCTGAGCCCCTTTCCACACACTGAACACCCCTCAGAACGGCTTGCTCCCATCCCCCCATCTCCACTTCCAGCTGGTTTTGAGGAGAAACCTGCCAGTCCCTCAGCCCAGCCCCCTTGGTTGACCTTACTTAAAGTACAACAGCTGCCACCAGAGAGTCCTTCCCAGTGACCGGAAAATCTGGGCCCCAGTCAGTGGCACCTGCTCCATTTCTCAGACTCTCGCCCCACCCCCTGCCTTGGCATTGCTTCTCATGAGGCCCCAGGGCATCACCTGCTGCCATTCCACCCCCAGCCTCAGCCCAGCCTCTCTGCTCCCAGGGACACTTTGGGTACCTGCTGCCAAGCTACCTATGGTTATTTTTCCACCACATTCTGGCCCTGTGTGGCTCAGAGACTTTGGGTTCCAGGTCCCAGGTGGCACTTCCCTAGACCCTGGTAAGCACTCAGTACAGCAAGTGGGGGCTCTGGCATCCTCACACCCTCCAGCCTCTTGACTCACTTTGGACATGTAATCTGTAGGAAGGGTGTTCTTTCTGAACTCACAGCTAAGGACTAATCTCGTTCCGAGCTTCCAGCCCCTAGCCTGCCAGTCCAAGAAACACTTACCACCCTGACTGGAGGAAGGCCCACTGGGATGCAGGCTCCTGGCTGGCCCAGCAGGAGCTCCACCTGTGCTGGACCGGGGTCCTATCATCTCTGTATCCTCAGCTCTAGGGCAGGGTCTTCACACAGCAGGTGCTCTGTAGATGTGGGAGGAGTGGATGGATGGATGGATGGAGAGAGGGAAGGAGGGATGGAAGGATGGATGGAGAGAGGGAAGGAGGGATGGATGGATGGAAGGAGGGATGGAAGGATGGATGGAGGGAGGGAGGGAGGGATGGATAAATGGATGGACGAATGAGCATATTTGTGTATCACAGTCTGAGGAAATAGTCACATCTTTAAATATTCAAGCCCCCCATCCCCTTCCAGTCACAGGAAATCCACTTTCCCAGGGTTCCGTTCATTTAGATATTCACAAACCCTCTGGGGCTACTTCTTCAGTCTTGGTTACCATAGCCAGAAAATAGGGTCAGCCAGACAAGCATCACTGCCATAACCTAGGCAGTTTGGAACACTGGAGCATTGCCTTGCGTCCCCTCGCTGTGGCTGCTCCCTGCACCAGGGCCAGGGTCAGGAGGGGCTGCCATCAGCCGTGTGCATGACCAAAGGTGCCCCTCCCCCACTGCCACCCCCAACTACTTGCTCCTAGAGAGAACACCAGTCTGTCCGTGGCTGTCCCAGGGCACAGCCAAAGCAGCCTCCAGGGCCTAGGAGAAGACTCTCTCGTTGATCCACGGAAAACTCCCCAAAGTCTCTCTCAGGCCCTCAGTCATACATAATCTCGTCTGCAGAGGGACCATGGGCAGGGCCACTCAGCCATCAAGCACAGTGGTCACAGTGCCTGGAGCCCACCATACCATTAGGGGCCCAATATAGGAGGAAATGTAGGAAAATAATAACTATAACCCAGCCTGGATTATATTCACTTTATATCCACACAGTCATAAAACATAATTTGTAATATTCTTCTGAGTGAAGAAAGGGACCCATGAAGACAAAAGTGCCCAGGGCCCACAATAGCATAATGGCATTTTGACCTAACTGTGGCGGTCTGACAAGCTGGACTATGTGAAGAAGAACGGGGCATCAGGAGTGGAGGAAGACTCATTAACAACCTGTGATATGCAGATGATAAAACCTTGCTTGCTGAAAGTGAAGAGGACTTGAAGCACTTACTGATGAAGATCAAAGACCACAGCCTTCAGTGTGGATTACACCTCAACATAAAGAAAACAATCCTCACAACTGGACCACTAAGCAACATCATGATAAACAGAGAAAAAATTGAAGTCAAGGATTTGATTTTACTTGGATCCACTATCAACGCCCATGGAAGCAGCACTCAAGAAATCAAACGACGCATTACATTGGGCAAATCTGCTGCAAAAGACCTCTTTAAAGTGTTAAAAAAAAAAAAAAGCAAAAATGTCACTTTGCGGACTAAGGTGCACCTGACCCAAGCCGTGGTGTTTTCAATCACCTTCTATGCACGCGAAAGCTGGACGATGAATAAGGAAGACCGAAGAATTGACGCCTTTGAATTATGGTGTTGGCAAAGAATATTGAATATACCATGGACTGCCAGAAGAACGAACAAATCTGTCTTGGAAGAAGTACAGTCAGAATGCTCCTAAGAGCAAGGATGGCGAGACTTCGTCTCACATATTTTGGACATGTTATCAGGAGGGACCAGTCCCTGGAGAAGGACATCAAGCTTGATAAAGTAGATGATCAGTGAAAAAGAGGAAGACCCTCAACAAGATGGATTGACACAGTGGTTGCAACAACGGGCTTAAGCATAACGATTGTGAGGATGACGCAGGACCAGGCAGTGTTCTGTTCTGTTGTACACAGGGTCGCTATGAGTCGGAACTGACTCCATGGTACCTAACAACAACACAGCAGTCCAGACTCAAGCTTTCTCTTAGCAATCAGATAACAACAACATTAACAGCTAACACTTATACAGTACTTATCATATGCCAGGCACTCCTCCCAAGAGCCCTATGAGGCAGGTACCATTTTTACTCCCATTTTACGGATGAAGGAGCAGAAGCACAGAGAGGTTGAGTCACTGGCCCAAGGTCACATAGCCAGAAAGCGACAGCCCTGAGTTTTCTCTGCTCACGGGATATCATCCAACCCTAAGCAAAGCACTCAACAGCCCTTCTTCAGCATCTGCAGGCAGATTTAGGGTGACCACAGTTTTTTCCAGGGACAATGGTTTATTGATGCTTTACATAAAGGCCACTATCTGGTACCTGGTTCAAAACAAGGAAGTTCCCCTAAAGCTGATGCAGCAGCTTCAAGAGCAACTAGCAACTTCCCTCCAAAAAGGTTTGTTGCTCTGTGAACATTTGGATTCATTTCCTAGAGCTGCTGTAAAAAGTACCAAAAACTGAGTAGCTGAAACAGAAATTTATACTCTCACACTTCTAGAGGCCAGAAGTCTGAATTCAAGGTGTTGGCAGGGCCGTGCTCCCTCTGAAGGCTCTAGGGGAAGAACTTGCCTTGTCTCTTTCCAGCTGCTGGTTAACTAACTAACCCATTGCCGTCCCGACTCATAGCGACCCTATGGGACAGAGTAGAAGCCCCAGCAGGGTTTCCAAGGAGCAGCTGGTGGATTCCAACTGCCGACCTTTTGGTTAGCAGCCGTAGCTCTTAACCGCTGAGCCCCAGGATGTTCTTAGCTTATGGCAGCATCACTCCCTCTGCCTGCATCTTCACATGGCTGTTTTCTTTCTGTGTCTCTCTGTCTCCGTGTCTCTTCTTATAGGGACACCAGACATATTGGATTAGGGCCTACTCTACTCCAGTAAGACCTCATATAAACTTAACCAATTACATCTGCAAAGATGCTCTCTCCAAATATCTTTTGGGGGGACACACATCAACCGATAACAACATTGAGGAAAAAAAAAAAGATGGCTCTCTTCATCTGGCACTTCATTCTCTGTGTATTTGCGGTCATTTCTGTATTTGTGTACATGTTTAAATGTGTGACATATGACTGTGCGTGTCTGTGTAAAACTGAAAGCTTTCTACGTGAGACACTGGTATGTGTGCCTGTCTGTGGGTGTGGGAGCCTCTATGTGTGTGTGTGTGTGTGTGTGTGTAGGTGTGTGTATATGTTTGTTGCAGCTATTGTGTTAAACCATCTCATTGAGGGTTTCTCTTGTTTTCGCTGATCCTCTACTTTACCAAATGTGATGTTTGGACCAGTGCTAGAAGTGCTGAATTCAAATCCTGGCTCTGCTGCGTTCCAGCTGTGTGACCCTGGATGGTCTCTTACCCGCTCTGAGTCTCAGCTTTCTCGTCTCTAACGAGTAGATCATAGTAACTACTTCATGTTGTGTGGAGAAATAAGTGAGATGATGTAAGAAGTACTGGGTGCCCAATAAATAACTAACAGAGTGAGATGGGGGAGAAACTGGGAGCCCGTTCCACCCAGAGTGGTGATGGTGTTGTTGTGTGCCACAGAGTTTATTCCGACTCATAGCAGTCTTATATGACAGTATAGAACTGGCCCATAGGGTTTCCTAGGCTACAGTATTTACGGAAGCAGATCACGAGGTCTTCTGTCCCACAAAGCAGCTGGTTCCTTTACCCAGAGCGGTTGTTGTTGTTGCTGTCATGTTGTTAGGTGCCACCAAGTCATTTCCAACTCATAGTGACCCTGTGTACAGCAGAACAGAAACACTGCCTGGTCCTGCATCATCCTCACAATCATTGCTATGCTGGAGCCCATTGCTGCAGCCACTGTGTCAATCCATCTCATTGAAGGTCTTTCTCTTTTTCACTGACCCTCGACTTTACCAAGCTTGATGTCCTTCTCCAGGGACTGGTCACCCCTGATAACATGTTTAAAGTACATGAGTCAAAGACTTACCATTCTCGCTTCTAAGGAGCATTCTGGCTGTACTTCTTCCAAGACAGATTTGTTCATTCTTCTGGAAGTCCATGGTATAGTCAATACTCTTCTCCAACACCATAATTCAAAGTCATCAATTCTTCTTCAGTCTTCCTTATTCATTGTTCAGCTTTCACATGCATATGAGGCAACTGAAAACACCATGACTTGGGTCAGGCGCACCTTAGTCCTCAAAGTGACATTTTTGCTTTTTAACACTTTAAAGAGGTCTTTTGCTGAAGATCTGCCCAATGCAATACATAGTTTGATTTCTTGACTGCTGCTTCCATGGGAACTGATAGTGGATTCAGGTAAAATGAAATCCTTAACAACTTCAGTCTTTTCTCTGTTTATCACGATGTTGCTTATTGGTCCAGTTGTGAGGATTTTTGTTTTCTTTATGTTGAGGTGTAATCCATTCTGAAAGCTGTAGTGTTTGATCTTCGTCAATAAGTGCTTCAAGTTCTCTTTGATTTCAGTAAGCAAGTTTGTATCATCTGCCTATCACAGGTTGTTAATGAGTCTTCTTCTAATCCTGATGCCACGTTCCTCTTCATGTAGTCCAGATTCTTGGATTATTTGCTCAGTATATAGATTGAATAACTACGGTGAAAGGATGCAACCCTGACACACACCTTTTCTGATTTTAAACCACGCAGTATCCCCTTGTTCTGTTTGAATGCCTCTTGGTCTATATACAGGTTCCTCATGAGCACAGTGAAGTGTTCCAGAATTCCATTTTTTGAAGTGTTAGCCATAATTTGTTGTGATCTACACAGTCAAATGCCTTTGCATTGTCAATAAAACACAGGTAAACATCTTTCTGGTATTCTCTGCTTTCAGCCAGGTCCATCTGACATTAGCAATGATATCCCTGGTTGCACATCCTCTTCTGAATCGGGTTATCGTTTCTGGCATTTCCCCATCAATGTACTGCTGCAGCCTTTTTTAAATTATCTTCAGCAAAATACCCAGAGTGGTAGGGGCCCAAAAAAAAGCCTGCAAATCTCAGAATTGGGCTCTGTCTCAGGATGCTTGGAAAACCATACCCTCGAGCCAGCTCCATCTCCCATCCAAATTAAACAGTAGCCACCCAAGGTCAGGGAAAAGGCCTTGCTGGAACAGGTTTCTTCTCCCCAAGGCGTGGCTCGGCCTTGGCCAGGTGGACCTCCTCCTGCCTACAAATACACTCATGCCCCCTTAGGGGCCACTCAGTCCGGACACTCACACTATGTTGGGCGTCACAGTCCTCGCCATACTCCTGACCTATGGTAAGCTCTGGATGGGGACTAGCTGCTGCCAGTGGGCTGTGAGCTCCAGATGGCCGCCTGGGGACAAAGGCAGAGCCTCAGGCGCTCTGCTCACCAAGGCTTCAAAAAAGGAGTTTGGGGTCCAATGTGGGCTCAGATGCTGCTGACTCGCTGTGTGGCAGACAGGTCACTTCCCCTCTCTGTAGCTCTGCCTTCCCCTCCGCAAAACAGGACAGTGGGCTGACCTCCCCAGGTCGGGTGAGCATTAGAGGTGAGATATAGAAGGCACCGAGAACGGTGCCAGGGATTCACCCCAGGGACCATCAGAGCCTACCCTTCCCAGCGACGTCTCTCACTTGGGGATTCTTTGCTCCCCCATTTTGGTGGTATTGCATCGGATCAGGAATCAAAGGACTTGGCTTAAATGTCACTCACTCACTGCAAGACTTAGACAAGTCACTTCACCCCTCTAAATCTCACCAACTTGCTTGGGTAATGAGAGCACTCGATTAAGAGTCCTTCCAGCTAACAGCAGGAATAATAGCAGCTCTTCTTTATTGTGTTTACTATGTGCCAGACTGTGTGCTAAGCTCTTTACATGCTAATTTGACCCCCACAACGACTTTGAGAGGTGGTGTTGTTAGGTGCCATAGAGTCGAGTCCAACCCATAGCAACCCCATGTGGCAGAGTAGAACTTCCCCATAGGGATTTCTTGGCTGTAATCTTTATGGGAGCAGATCACCAGGTCTTTCTCTTTCAGAGCCACTGGGTGGGTTCAGACTGCCAACCTTTTGGTTAGCAACCAAACACTTAACCATTGTGCCACTAGGGCTCCTTCCCTGAGAGGTGGGTTCTATGAATAGCTCCATTTTACAGATGAGGACATTGAGGCTCAGTATCTTGCCCAAGATCACTTGACTAATTAGTGGTTGAGCCAAAATTCGAGTCTAGGTGCTCTTCACTGATCCACACAGCTTGCCAGCTGCAACATTCTGTAAGTCTGGATTCACCGCACATGCACCCCCAGGGTAAGGGTGAAGGACAGGTATGCTTGGACTCTTTTTTATTTCCTACAGTGTACTAAGCGTCTGTTCTGTACCCAGCCCTTTGCTAAGCCTGTTATATGCATTGTCTAATTTAGTTCTCAGGACAAACCCACCAAGTTAGTGCTAGTCTTCCCATTTCACAGAAAGGGAAGCTGAGGCCCAGAGAATTAGGTGGCTTCCCCAAAGCCATGAAGTGAAATATGAAGCCATGTCTGCTGGACCCAAAACTGGTGCTCTTTCTACCTGCCCACCCCACCTGTCCCCACACCAGTGGGGATGCCAGCCCCACTCACCTGATCTCCTCCCCTCCTGCTCACCCAGCCTCCAGCTGTGGGGTCCCCAGCTTCCCTCCCAACATAGCGGCCCGGGTGGTAGGAGGAGAGAATGCCGTAGCCCACAGCTGGCCCTGGCAGGTAAGCATACTGCTAGGGGGTAGGAGGTGGGGGTAGGCAGGGCTGTGGGATGAGGGTCCCCAGAGACCTGACACATGACTCTTATGCACCCTCTCCAGATCTCCCTCCAATACTTTGCGAACGGCACGTGGTGGCACACGTGTGGTGGCACCTTGATAGCCAACAACTTCGTCCTCACGGCAGCCCATTGCATCAGGTGAACTGGGATGACATCCCACCCTGGGGCAGGGGCCTCATAAGCTGCTCTTCTAGACCACCTACTACCTACAGGCATGGGGCTAACTCGGTTATTCGTTTAGCCATGCAACAAACACTTATTGTGCAGGGAATACAGCAGGGATGAAGACCTCGTCTGTGTTCTCAGGGAGCTTACAGTCTAGTGGAAGACAGAACAACAGACAATTAAACAAGTAAATACATATCAGGTGGTGATGGAGAAAAAATAAAGCAAGAAGAGGATAAAAAGTGTAACGGGTTCTATTTTAAAGGGCATGCCTGAGGGAAGGAGTCCCTGGGTGGTCCAAATGTTTAACAAGCTAACCGAAAGGTTAGAGGTTCGAGTTCACCCAGAGGTGCTTTGGAAGAAAGGCCTGGTGATCTGAAAAATCAGCCGTGGAAACCCTATGGAGCACAGTTCTGCTCTGACATACATGGAGTCACATGCAGCGGAATCGACTTGACAGCAAATGGGTTTTTTTTCTTTCTTTTTTTTTTTTGACTGAGGGAAGACCTTGATAATAATGGGATATTTGAGCAAAGATTTGGAGGAAGTCAGGGGGAGATCTAGGGGAGGGCATGCCAGGCAGAGGGAACAGCCAGTGCTGTTCCCTGAGGAAGGAGCCTGCTTGGTGTGTTTGAGAAATAACGAGGAGGCTGGTATGGCAGGAGCAGAGTGTGCGAGGGGGAGAGCAGGAGGAGGGGAACTAGAGAGGAGACGCACAGCTTGATGGTGCAGGTCAGTGTCAGGACTTTGGCTTCAACCCTCAGTGACATGGAGCTATTAGAAGTTTTTTTGAGTGGAGGAAGGGCAGGGGCTGACATATTTTAGAAGACTCACACTGGCTACTGGGTTAAGAATGGACAGTAGGGAGGCCAGGGTGGATGCAGGGAGGCAGTTAGGCCACTGTTGCAACAATGTAGGCAAGAGATGATGGTGGTTTGGACTAGTTTATTCTTACAGCAGCCCTAGCACCTAAGTTCTAATATTATCTCCACCTTACAGACGAACAAAAGGTCCCTGCGTGGCACAAGCCGTTCACAATCAGCTGCTAACCAACAGTTGGCGGTTCTAGCCAGGGCTTCCAACTGGTTTGTTCAGGTTCTCACCTCTGCTGAGAATTTGCATTTCTAACAAGTTCCCAGGCAATGCTAATACTGCTGGTTAAGGACCAATTCTGAGAACCACTAGCAGAGCGGTGCGTCTCTAACTCGATTATACATATGAATCACCTGGGGATCTTGTTAAAATGTAGACTCTGATTCAGTATATCTGAGATGGAAATGTGAATTCTCAGCAGGGATTCAAGCCAGAACAAACCAGTTCTAAGCCCTGGTTCTAACCTACCCAGTGGCTCTATAGAAGAAACATCCTGGTAATCTGCTTCCATAGAGATTACAGTCAAGAAAACCTTATGGAGCAGTTCTACTCTATAACACATGGAGTTGCCATGAGTCATAATCGACTCCACAGCAACGGGTTTGGTTTTTGGTTTTTATGGATAAGGGGACTGAGGCCCGAGGCTACCCGCTAAGAGCAACAAAGACACAACATGACCCAAGTCCTTTGACTCCAAGTCCAGGGTCTTTCCTCTACACAACACTAGGAAGGGTCAGTGGGGATGGACACTCTTCCTATGGTGGCCACAGTGTTGGGCCACCAAATCTACCCTGACCCTGTCTCCTTCCCCTGCCCAGTGACTCCCTCATCTATCGCGTGGGCCTGGGGAAGAACAACCTGTCCGTGAAAGACGAGGAGGGCTCCCTGTTTGTAGGTGTGGACACCATCTTTGTCCATGAGAGGTGGAACTCCTTCCTGATACGGTGAGTGCCTGGCTGACCATCTCATGGCTCCTGAAGAGAGGTCCCTGAGACACAGTTGCAGGGTCTGCCCCCACCCTGTCCCTGGTATCCTATCCTCACCCCAAACAGCAGGCAAGATGGCCCCTTTACACAAAATACTAAATGGAGACAGACTTCCCTCCCACCCCGATCATTGGCCAAGAGTCCCTGAAAAATACACAAGGAATAAAGACGCAGAGGCCCAAGAGTGTCCTGCCTGGAGTCTCTCAGCTAGAGGTTGAGCCAGGACTCACCTTTATTGAGCACCTACTGCATGCTCACACTGCAACATGCATTTTACATGCCACTTCTTATTTAACCTTCACCATAGCCCTAGACAAGGAACTGAGGCTCAGAGAGGTTAAGGAATATGTCCCAGGTCACATGGCCCAGTAGATGGTAGAACTAAAAATCAAAGCAGGTCTGTCTAGGGCTGCCCACTTCCGTTCTGGTAAAATGAAAATATAAAACTCATAACAGTAAGTATCCCTCTTTTGTCATTATAACTTCCCATTTGCTTTCACTTAATTTCTGAGGGATAAATAACCAGCAGTGGTTCAGAATGCTTCAGCTCTGGTTTCCCCCTCAGTTAAGCCTTTCCTTTTAAAGGGATGAGTGATCAAGTCAGAAGGCAGATCATTTGCCCTGGGGCACATCTGTCAGCCAATATGAAGCTAGTGGTCCATGACATTTATGGGGGACTCCTGGCCACCCTTGTCCTGACTCCCAACTCACAGCCCAGGGCCCTCCACCCCACTTACCCTCTCACTTGGATTCCAGCAACGACATTGCCCTCATCAAGCTGGCAAAGTCCGTGGAGCTGAGTGACACTATCCAGGTGGCCTGCCTGCCAGAGAAGGACTCCGTGCTGCCTCAGGACTTCCCCTGCTACGTCACTGGCTGGGGCCGCCTCTGGAGTGAGTACCAGTTGCCATGGAGTTGAACCCGACTCACAACGACCCCATGTGTGTCAGAGTAGAACTGTGCTCCATAGGGTTTTTAAGAGCAGATTTTTCGAAAGTAGATCACCAGGCCTTTCTTCTGAGGCACCTCTGGGTGGACTTGAACCTCCAACTTTCCGGTTAGCAGCTGAGCACATTGAGTACAGCTCCTGGCAAATCATGAGAGCCTTCCTAGAGGAAGCAGCTCCAACAACAAGCACTCCACACACACTTGCCCATCACTGTTCCTTTCTGCCTAACCATTTTCACATCTTGTTTACCTTTGTAATGACACCAACTAATATTTATTACCCACATACTACGTGACAGACACTCTAAAAAGCTGTGTTGTAAGGATTAAACAGATTAGAATTGGCCGGCTTGGCACATAGTAAGTGTCATATAAGTACCTGTTAAGTCAAATAAATAAGCCATGGGGCGGGGAGTGGGGTGTTAGATCTTTATGGCATACCAGACACCCAGATAAAGTCCAGCTGAATTAAAGATTTAAATGTAAATAAATGAAACTATAGAAGACCTACAGGAAAATACAGATCATTACTTAGAAAATCTTGGGGTAGAAAGACTTTTGAATATGGTACACCAAAGGCAGAAACCTACAAGGAAATGGTTTACAATAAAACCCTAGCATCCAAATTAAAGACGACTCAACTCGATGGTTATTCCTTGAGGGCTTTCTGTGGATTGATTCTACTTCAAACCTGCTGCCCCTTCCTCACCCTCAGAGGGGTCTCTGCCCCAAACGGTTCAGGACAGTTGGCTGAGAGTCTTGCCTCTTGATTAAGGTCATTTGTGTGTTGCCCACAAAGCCCTGCCAGGCCTCACCCCCACCCAATCCCGGAAGGCCCAGCGGGCTAGGCTGGGGCTGGGCCTATCCCTGCTGACTTTATGGTCACGGACCGCTCTCCCCAGCCGATGGCCCCATCGCCGAAGAGCTACAGCAGGGCCTGCTGCTGGTGGTGAAACATGCCACGTGTAGGAGATTGGACTGGTGGGGTCTCCTGGTGACGAACAAGATGGTGTGCGCCGGGGGCGACGGAGTCGTCTCGGCCTGCAATGTGAGTGCCCAGACCCTGTGCCTAAGTAGGGGGATAGCAAGGGAGGCAAGGAAGGTGGGAGTAGGGAGACCTATATGAGCGAATCCTCTCCCTGGGAGGAGACTGTGCCCCGGATGGGCCAAGCAGGCTCAGGGGAAGACCTGTCACCCATACCTCACCCCTTCCCCTTGCCTTCTCCTCGCCCCCAGCGCTGTGGCAAGAGCAGGAGAGTTGAGTCAGAGAATCTGAGTTTAAGTCCCGGTCCCACCACTTACTAGCTGTGTAACCTCTGGCAGGCTGTTTAATCTCTCTGAACCTCAATTTTCCCATCTATCAAATGGAGACATATAAGAAGCTTCACTGCAGCCTCTGCACATGTTCCTTCATGCCGTCAGCTACACCAGTCCAGGAAGACAGGGGACTTAGGGAGATCTGACACAGAACTCAGAAACATTTAAGACAATCAAAAACTGTCCTGTTTTCAGACACACAACCCTCTCCCCACTCCTACCTTCCCCATTTTCCCAGGTCTCTAACGCAGCCCCCAGCATCCTCATGTCTCTGGGCAGCTCACAGTCTTAGACACGGTGACTCTGGACATCTGAGGAAACTGAGGCACAGAGAGGGTTAGCATTGTCCCAAGATCACACAGCAAAGCAAGAACTAGTCTGACACTCCAGATCCCCCCAGAACTGGGCCAAGGCAGACCCAAGCCAGATCTCCTCTCCCTCCCCTACTAGGAACAAGTCGAAGCATAAACAGGGGACAAAGGCTGAGGAGCCAGCCCACATCCCCCTCCCCACCCTGCCCCCGTTTCCCAGGCCTGCCTCTGAGGGAGGCCTGGTGGCTAATGCCCGCCCCTTCTGGCACAGGGGGACTCCGGCGGTCCACTGAACTGCCAGGCAGAGAACGGCTCCTGGGAGGTGCATGGCATCGTCAGCTTCGGGTCAGGGCGGGGCTGCAACATCCCCAAGAAGCCCACAGTCTTCACCCGCGTGTCTGCCTACATCGACTGGATCAAGAAGGTGGGTGCCCGCCTCAAGCCTGTGGACCCCTCCTTCCTGCACCCGTGGGCCCCTCCCCTCGCACACTCATTTCTTCAATCACTTCCCTGCTTACTCCTTCACTCATTCACTTATTGCTTGCTCACCAAAAACTCCCCAAAAAACCAAACCCATTGTCATCGAGTCCATTCCGACTCATAGCGACTGTATAGGCCACAGTAGAACAGCCCACAGGGCTTCCAAGGTTGTAGTCTTTAAAGAAGCAAACTGTCACATCTTTCTCCCATGGAGCTACTCGTGGGTTCAAACCGCTGATCTTTCAGTTAGCAGCCAACTGCTTAACCACTGCAGTATCAGGCCTCCTTGCTTGCTCAAAAATCAAAACCCATTGCCATCGAGTCGATTCTGGCTCATAGCCACCCTATAGGACAGAGTAAAGTGCCCCATATAGAGTTTGCTAGGAGTGGCTGGTGGATTTGAACTGCCGACCTTTTGATTAGCAGACGAGTTCTTTTTTTTTTTTTTTAATTTTACTTCAAGTGAAGGTTTACAGAACAAACAGTTTCTCATGAAACAGTAGTACACATATTGTTTTATGACATTGGATAAGAACCCCATGACATGTCAACCCTGTCCCTTCTAGGCCTTTTTTTTTTTTTTGGTGAAAATATACATAGCCAAAGATACACCATTTCAAAAATTTCTACATGCACAGTTCAGTGACATCGACTACACTC